AGTTGGAGAGGGAGGCCTGGGCAAGATCACTTAGGCTCTGGAAAGGAGTCTTCCTTTTGTTCTCAGAGCAGTGAGAATCCATTGAAGAGTTTTAAGCAGAGAAGTGACATATCTTACATTTAAAAAAGGCTCACCTTGGCTGTGCGGCAAATGAATTGCTCTGACAACAGGAGTGGAAGCAACTGGACTGGTAATGTGGTGACTGTAGAAGTCTGAACCAGGTGCCCAGCCTGGGAAGTCACCGGGAACGGAGGACAACCTAGTTAGAGGTCTCTATGAAAATCTGTAAAGGCCTTTGTGCAATTATGTAAGTGGTTGAGTGACTGGAGCTGAGCTGTGTCTCCGCCAAGATCACGTCGTTTCTTTGGGAACTGTGTTCCCTTAGGACTGTGTTACAAGAACAAAAGCTGGAGCGTACCAGTGACTGCAGGGGTAATCAACCTCTAAAACAGATGCTGAGGAAGCATGAGCCCAGACTGCTATCCAAACCCAACTTTATTCTTGTCTCCCACCACCCCTCCGACCTTTCTTCATTCACAGAAAAGCTGTGGCAAGCCTGTGACTTACAGCTCATTCTCAGTTCACATATTCTTAGGATCAGTATAAGATACAAACCCAATCTCAAGTGATTACAACATCTAATCCTACATAACAATAAATAATCTTCACCTCTTCTGGCTTTAGCTGTTTTCACCTCTCAGCTCTGTCCTGCTAAAGTCAAGAAGCCTGCACTGGAGAAGGGGGTGGGGGATGATCTCTAGGCTCTCTTCTCACTTCCTTTGCACCTAATAGCTGCTGACTGCTCTGGGCCCAACTGCAGAGAAGGAAGGGGATAAGAGAGCTTTTGCCTAGTTGGATATTTCTGGGTCCCATGGGCCTCACAGATTTAAAGGGGGGCGTCTTGCTGTCCTTTTTCTGCAGTCCCCTTTACCCTGGTGGGTGCAGCTTTATTCTGGGTGGTATCCTACAATTCCCTCCTTAGTCCAGATGGCACACTCCTAACTTCTCTGTGCTTCCTTACCTCTTCAGTGGTCCTACTGGACAGCACTCCAGACCACCCGATGCTTCCCCTGCTACAAGTTGCACAGGATACACGCCTGCATGGTTCGCCTCAGCAGATTCGAGGAACACAGACCAATGCAAAAGCAGCAGCATGCCCCTGGCTCCACCACTGAAAGTGAGCCTCTGCTTGCCCTCTGCATTTCCAGGGCAGGAGTCAGACTCCAGGTGTACCATTTCTTGGCATCAGGAATAAATACCTCAAGCTTCCTGAATGCTCCCAGTGCAGTCTCCAGTTAAGACTCTTTCCCACTCCCATTTACCTCTTACTATGACAGCCACTCCTTCATCCTATTCTCAAATTGTTCCTTAAAGTGATCTCATTGTTCCTTAAACAGCTGGTATGCTGCTTTTTCTTAAGGGAGCATACACTGTTCTTTCTTCAGTCTAAGCTCTCAATATCAGACATCAGACACTGAAGCCCAGGTTTAAACGAGAGGTGGTCATGAAGCTGATAATGGAGCAGTGATGACCCAGACTCAGAAGCCCTGCTTTCAGAATTGATGGAAAAGCAGGTGGAGGCTGGCCTGAGATAGGGGGAGTCAGACCTAACAAGATGTTTATTCAGGTGGCTGGAACCAGAACAGGCAAGGAAAAAATCCAAATTTGAAGTAAGGGAAGGAAAGCAAAATGAGGAGGAAGGCAGACCCCAGCTGTCCTGTTGAGCATGATAGCAAACAGGAAAAACGAATCAAGATCTAGGAATATACCTAACAGCTGGGAGGAAGCAGAGCTAGGATGCTATAAAAGGTGATGTATGTTCTCTAACGAGGCAGATGTCCTCAGACTTGACAGCTTGTCTCCCCGTAATCCCAAGAGGTTCCCATCCCATGAAGCTACCACAACAGTCGTTTCCCCTATAATCCCCAGAGAATCCCGGTAAATTGGAGACGACTGTCAGGGTATTGTCTTGGCTGCCTGGCAGCCAGCTCCACTCACCGGCCTCACATCATACCCCAGATGGAAGTCTCTCCAGTAGGCTGTGTGACCCTCTGTCCTGAATTCGCACTATTGGGCCTCTCCTACTCTGTCTGCAGATTTCCTGAATCTGCCCCCTTCTTCAAGACACTGGCACTGTTCCATGCTAACTTCTATCATCATATTGGAGAACTTCAAAGTCCATGCAGACCCACTCCCAATATCTGAGCCCCCCATGCAATAATCAACCTCCAGGCAACCTCCTGTGCACTCCTCTCAGGCACTCACTCCTATAACTACACTCTTAAACTTGGCCACTGCCTGGGGCTGTTTTACTTCCAGTATGAACTATTCAGATGTCCCAGTTTCTGACCACAGCCTCCCATCTTTCTAGGTTACTTTTAAAATTATCCCCAGTACTCCTGTCTTCACGCCACTCAATTGTTCTACAAAGTTCATGGCCCAGCATAGACATCACTAACTTGTGAATGGTCTGAAATGCCTTTGCTTGATTTCATTTAAATTGTGTGGTAAGGTTTCAACACTGGATGATCCCTTAGTACTCATTTTTCCTATAGTTACACCTAGATTCCTGTGCAGGCAGAGATAACCACACCATTGGGCTAACTGGTGTAACTATATATTAATGAATAATACCACTATAAATTTAAACCCCTCAACATTACACAGAAATCCTCTCTCTGCCACAATCTGACCTTTCTCTCATTTTAACAGACCTTTCAAGAGCATCCAACAGCACTAAAACCTTCCCATTCCTTCCACATGAAGAAATCCACTCTCCTGGTTTTACTCCATCTCTGGCTCCACCTTCTCTTGTCAGCTTTACTGGTTCATTTTCCTTTACTTATCCCTTAACTGCTCCTCAGAGTTCTCTTCCAAGCCATTTTCTCTTCTCGTTATCTTATTCTGGATATCTTATTGTTCTATTACGATGACTTGCATGACCTCCCCTGGCTGCTGAGTTTATGTCCCGCTTCCAAATGAACATCTAGGTACCAAAATCCCAACACTTTGAATGGCATCAACAGCGCAGTTGCTTAAGCCAGAAACCCAAGATCTGCTTCAGATTCCTTTCTCTCATCAAGCCTCAATGTCCCACCAGTTCTACCAACTGAAGTTCTTCCGCCTGCCCACTCCTTGCACCGTCACTAGTGACCTCATCACGTGGCCAAACCTGGGTTCCTGCAATACCCCTGCTTCTCACTGGTCCACGAACCCTGTCATCTTTATCACCTCCTTGGATGGATCTCAAGTGACCAGCTCTGGAAATACAAAGATAAAATATGAGCTGAGAAGACTGCAGCCTAATGCACAGAACAATCGCCACACAGTATTTAAACGTTGCAGTTGACCTCTTCCTGCAGTGCTTTGACAATGCAGATGAAGAAATTAGTTCTGCTTTGGGAGCAATGGAGTAGGAAACAACTAGGCTGTCTGGAAGGATGAGTAAGACTCTGCCAGTCAGATGAGTATTCCGCAGCGAGAAGCACGTGAAAAGGTACTGAACAGTGTCTGCTGGATGGTTCGCAGCCCAGCTTCTAAACATGCCCTCTGGCCCCACAACCTGCCTCAAAACACCCCCTTACTGGAGGCACTCAACTGGTGCAGAGTCTTGGATCCTGTGTGCCAGTGGTTCCCCTCAGTTCTTGCTCTTGGAAATAAGTCTTTACCATCTGAGCCACCAAGGGAGCCCTTAGAAATAGGTAGAACAGACTGTATCTTTATACCTGGGCCCATGGCAGATGCCTTTTAGGCCAAGGATTTGTCATCCCAGTCATCTTCTCCCAGAACTAGTCTTCTCTGCCCATAGTTTGGCCTAGGATGTGCTGATCTGGGCCCACTGCAAGGCAGAAACAACAGACACACTCTTCTGCCAATCCCCACCCCAAATGGAATCAATCAGTTGTGATTTATGGAGACCCAGCTCCCACATCACCCCCACTCAAAAAACTGCTCACAGTCTATTAAGAATCTCTAAAAATCTCATAAAATAAGGCTATTGAAAGGCCTATCTTGAGCTCTCCCAGAGTCTTCCTCAATCAACAAATTCATCCTTTACTCTTCAACCCCTAATCCTGCTTAGGTTAGGTCTTTAGAAACAGTAAGGCTTGCAACACACAACAGCCACAGCAACAGTTACTGAGCACCTCCTATGTGCCCTGCCTTGGCTACAGATTTCCTCATTAACCCATACAACAATTCTATGAGACAGTTATTCTATCATTTACCAAATGAGTAGCTGAACATTCAAAGGATAAAAGGCTCTAGACAGTCAACAGCAGGCCTACCTGATTCCAATATCTGTGCTCTCAGCCAGACAAACACCAGGACCCAATAGAACAACAGATGCTAGGAGGGTCAGGGCCATTCAGCTCCAAAGACAGAGATGACAATCACGGGGAAGAAGTACTCAGCATAGGGACAATCAAACCATCTTGACCAAGAAGTCCAGATGATGTTGATGGACTAGAGCCAAGTTGCCTCCGCTGATGTGAGGGCTGCTGCACTTGCTCTAGAGCCGAGCTGCCCTAAAGCAATGCCTGCCTGTGGCCTTCAAGGCCTGGGCAGACCAAAGCTGTAGAAGCTTTGGGTGAGCAGAGGGATCTGGTGTGCAGACAGGAAAATCAGAACAGAGAGTGGAGATGCTAGGACAGAAAGCTCATATGGCTTCTGAGAGATGGAAACAGACACCAAACTCAGAGATGCCTTGAATTCCAAACCATGTAGTTTCCATGACACTGAGGGGATCCATAATTCCCACATACTCCTGTGTTCTCACAATGAACTCCTTACTCTTTGGCTAGCCCAAATGACTTTATGCTTCCTAGAACCAAGAAGCCTTCATCACAGCAGGGTTGAGCCAAGAGTTTCATTACATTTTGTTCTTGAGATGGAGTAAGGGTGGTATTAGGCCCCGGGTCACAGCCTGGCTGGATACAGTCTTCAGAGTACTCAGTCTGGAGTTCAAGATTTGCCTCCCCATTCAAGGGGGGCTCCAAAGGTCACCTGCGCTTATAGAGACAAGGCTGAAGCTTCAGTCCTGAGAGCTGAGTCTTGGGCCCTACCCGAGGGGGCCCAGTCTTTTCAAAGTCAAACAAGAAGAAGTGGCTGTTGGTCAGATCCTAGGGACAGAAAAGACCCAGTGAGCTGTAAGTCCTCACCCCAGCTCTTCAAATCACCACCGTCCAGGCCCCACCCCTGCTCAGAAAGCTTCCCGGCTCTCTCTCGCTACTCAAGCCTTCAAGGAGCAAATATCTGTGTCTGACAATAACCTCCTTCCTCAACACCGTTATAAGCCTGAAGGGCCACACATGTGTCAAAAATAGGACAGACTTCCTGGGGCCCTCACCTTGGAGATGACCTTGAAGCCCAGCTTGGTGACAGCCCCCAGAAAAGTCCGAACATCTTCAAAGCGGCTGCTGACCTCAGCCACTTTCAGAAGACCCCTGAGAAGGAAGGAAAGTTCTGGGTGAGTACACCGACAGGCGCATGTGCACACAGTCATGCATCTGTGTCCTGGGAGCACCTACCCTGGCTTCAGCACGCGATTTGCCTCCTCCAGGAAGTCTCTGATGTTGGTTCCCATCAGTGAAAGGCAGAACACAGCCACATCTACAGATTCATCCTCCAGAGGCACCTGTGGAGAGTGAGACTGTTGTACAAAGCACACATTATGGGAAGGAGAAAGCCAGTACTGAACGCTAGGGGCAGACACAAGGATGCAGGGTGGGCAGAGTGTGTTTACATGGAAGGAGAGAGGGGCTTACCTGGGCCATGTCACACACAGTGACCCGGGGGTCCAGAGAGGCCAAGTCAAAGCAGTGTACAGGGTTCCGGATGCTTGAAGCCAGGCGGCAGTCCCCACAGCCAAAGTCAGCCACCACCAGGGATGCAGGCCTGGGAATGGAAGGGAGGAAGAGCTCACTGGTCTGGTCTGAGCCTGGAACTGACATGCCTAGCTTCTCACAGCGCCCAATTTTCACTAACCGCTGGCGAAGGTCACTGGCGATGCGGTCTACCGGCTGCAGTGGCCACTTCTTGACTTGGTTTTGGAAGCCACGGTGGTAGAGGAGAAAGGCCTCAGGGTCTTCCTGGAAGAGGCGCTGCGCAGCACTGCTGGGCCCTGAGTATAGCTGTTCATTGAGGTAGCGGAACCGGGCACCATCCAGACGCTGGGCCATGCGGGCTCGAAGAGCCTCTGCCCGGGTTCCATGGCTGTCTGGACTGGGGGCAGAAGACACCTCTGCCTCCTCTGCAGAGGCTGGGGCTGGGGCTGGGGATGGGGCCTGCTCTGGTGGCTGAGATGGCCGAAACTTGTTCTTCTGTCTACGCTTGTTCTTCTGCCGGTTCCGCCATTGCTTGCGACTCAAGGTATGGGGAGGATTAGAGGAAGGGATCTCACAGGTTGGCTTGGTGGGGTCACTTGTAACACGAGAATTCCAAACTTTAGAATCTGAAGAAAGAGAGATGGAAAGGCATACTGGGGAGCAAGAAGACCTAAATTCAGAGGTTTAGCACGTCATCCTGGCCATACCCCTGTCCCTAAGACAGAAACTGTGGCCTATGTGAAAGTACTTCTTATTCCATAACCCCAAACCTACTGGTGGCGGAGGAACTCTGTTATTTGTAGGATCAGCTGATCCCCACACCCCCAGCCCTCATATACGTCCCATGTATACTACCTGTTTGGTCAACATTGTCCAGGGGCTGGGCAAGATTTGAAGGGGTCTGTTTCCGGCATTTCCTCTTTTTTTTCTCTTCTTCAGCCAAGGCACTGCCAAGAAGAGCCCCTTTGTGGCACTTCTTCCTTTCCACTTCCTCTTCCTTGGAGTCACTGCTAGGTGGGCCCTGTTTGTGACGTTTCTTCTTCCTTTTCTCCTCTACTTCACTAGACACACCAGCAAACAAGCCCCTTTTCAGGCGTTTCTTCTTTGTTTCCACTGCCTCCTCCTCCTCCTCCTCAGAGTCACTGCCAGGCAGGCTAGGGGGCTGCTGGGGAGCAGATGCCACCTCCAGGGCCCGTAATGTGGCCAAGAGCTGGCGGCGGCTGGAGCCCTGGGGGAAAACAAGGGATGAAAGCAGGGCGAGGAGAATGGACGGGGTCTAGGGAGTAAGAAGAGAGATGGGGACCTCATTCAGATGCTGCTTAGAGGCTTCTGGATTATTCCCAATCAACTTACCTAGCTTATCACAAAGACTGCCAGGGCCTGAAGGACTTTCAAAATCGCCATCCCAACCTTTGGGAGGCTGGAGAGCAGAGAAACCACCCACCTCACTTTCTTCATTGTATAGATGAGGTGATGGGGTTCCCAGAAAAACACTGTAGGGCCACAAGCTCCAGGACCGAGGCTAGTGACCAGGCGTTCCAACCCTCAATTTCAGGTTTCTACCTCTAGCTAATACCTTTTTATAAAAAGGAGGAAGAGTTTTGAAAATAAAAGTGACATGATCACACATGGGTGTATTAAAGATGCCTCTAGTTGTAGTGTAAAGAACTGAAAGAAAAAAAAAACCAACACTGAAGGGGACAAGCTGCAGACATAGGCCAGGGGTGGGGATTATAGCAATGGGTCGAGGGGTTGAAGAGGAGGGAATAAAGCAGACAGATTTCATGTCACAGGCTGACTGAAGGACAGAAAGAGCCTGAGCAAGTGCAGCAGCCCTCACATCGGCAGAGGCTTAAAGGAGGTCTGCTGTCTGGGAGGCCCTTCTGGACTGAAGTCCTACTGGACGGGTTACTCATCCTGGAGATTCTCGGTACTCCCTCAGCACCAGCTCCCTTTGAACAGTAGTACTACTGACAGCCCTCATTGTCATTCACTCTTGCTCTTTCCAATCTCCACAGGGCAACCAGTGACCCTTTCAAAACGCAAATCTAAAGAAATCGTTCCCCTGCTAAAACACTCCATTGGCTTCTATCTTTACCATGTGCAAATATTCTAACGTAGGCCTCCAATTTCTACCACAGTGCCTCTCATCCTGTGTCATGCTCCCTTGCGCTCGGGTCTCTCCACATGCCTTTCCTTCCAAGAAACCTTCACTAATTTCTACTCACCAATTCTCTCTCAGTTCCAACGTCACTTTCTTTTGGAAGTTCCGGATTTGGGGAGGCTTCAGGCGGCCCCCCTCCCCCTAATTACACACGCGGCGCGCCCCAGCTCCGGAATCCAGCAGAGTCTGTTCTGAGTCCGTTCTGCGGGGCCACTCACCTTGATTTGAGAGGCTGCCGTGGGCCGAAGCCCTAAGGCTATGGACCCGAAGTCCGCGACTACAGGGGCCTCCTCGGCCCACTCCGGCTCCTCGAACATGGGGCTGTGGAGCGCAAGGTTGCGGGATCCACGCTCTTCTCCACGTGCAGACCGCGTCTCTAGGAATCAGACCGCTTAGAGACGCCGGAACAGGGCAGGAAACCAAAGAGTGAGAGCTGAAGTGGCTAGAGCAGCCGGCGCAGTGCCGAAGACCATCGAGTTTAGACACTGGTGGGCTAGAAGGGCAAGGAACGCGGGAGGGAGGGGCTGGGAGAAGGAGGCCCGCGCTGGCCTGAGAGGGCCAGGGGCGGGGCCGAGCGGCGGGCGCGGCCGGACGGGAGTTCCCCGGAGAAGGCTCCTCTAGCCCGAGTCCCGGTGAGTGTGGGGGCACCCGTGCCCCCTCCCCAAGGCTCGACCTCTACCAGGCGGTCACCCCTCACTCCACCTACTCGGTTCCGAGTGGGGAACGAGGGCCATCCCCAGTTAGGACCTCCGATCGCCTCCTCCAGGCTATACGGCGCCTAAACTCCCTCCCCTCACCCCAACCACCCCCCCCGCTCCCCGCCCCAGCTCTGTTCGCGGGTAGGGTCTCTGTGCTTGCTCTCGTGACATCCCTTCGGGAGACGCTACCTCCTAATCAACGCCTACTTCGCCCGATCCGCCTTTCCTCGCGCTCAAGGGACACAGTCCAGGATCATCCCGCTGCCTTCCTAACTCCTTTCAGACATCCAGTAGCTGGGGACGCAGAGCCCAGACCCCCAGCCCAACACCACACTTCTCTCCTGTAGGGAACAAAGCCTGGGGCTCACCCACCCCCCTAGATCCTCCTATAGTTCCCACACTTTCCCAATCTAGGGGACTCTGTGCCGGGACGCTGCTATGGACGACATTTTCACTCAGTGCCGGGAGGGCAACGCGGTTGCGGTCCGCCTGTGGCTGGACAACACGGAGAACGACCTCAACCAGGGGTGAGCTGGGGTGGCTGGGGGGCGAGAGGAAGGGCAAAGACATGCTCCTCTCCGCGATGTGGGGTGCTTATTTCTGGTGCGGGCGGCTAACTTTCCTATTCAGTGTGATGAGGGTTAGCACAGCCTGTCAGCGGGGCAGAGGGTCTCCACACCGGAAGCTGCTGTTTGAGCTGAAACTTGACTGAATAAGAATTTCACAGGCAGAGACTGCAGAGAACTTTTCTAACCTCAGTGAACCTCATGGGCAAAAGCTAGAGGGCAAGACACGGGAGCAGAGAGTGCCAGCAACTGTCCGGAGCTCCATATGGCTAGAGGAGAGAAAACCGCTGGGCTTCTGTGGGCTAAAGCTCTAAGCACAAGTGTAGAATGACAGAAGTTAAGACTGGAAAGGTCTGCAAGGGTCAGTCAGATCATGCAAGAGTATTTAGGCTATAATAATGTTTTTACTGCAAGGGCAAGGGTCTAGAGCCATGTAATGGTACGATGAGATTGTCCATTTGTTAAATGTCATCTTGGATGCTTTGTGAAGAGCAAGTGGTGATGTGAAGAGAGGCAACCAACTGCCTAGCCCATCTCAAGTGGTGATGGCTTAGACTAGAATTGGGGCAGGCAAAAAAGAAAAAGTGATCAAATTCCTTAAATCTTTCGAATAAAGAATTGGTGAGACTTGGTGTGGAAAGTGAGGAAGGTCAAAAATGACCAGGGTTCTGGCTTGGGTAGATGGTGGTTCCTTTTATTTAGATGGACAAGGCTGAAGGGTGGTGAGTTCCACTCTGGACACATTTAAGTGACAATAAAGTGGAAATGTGGAGTAGGCTGCTGGATTTCAGGAGAGAGATCTGACTTGGAGACAAAGATTTGGGCGATATTAGCATGAAGATGGGCTTCCCAGGTGGCTCAGCAGTAAAGAATCTACTTGCCAGTGCAGGACCCAAAGGAGATGCGGGTTCAACCCCTGGGTCTGGAAGATTCCCTGGAGCCGGAAATGGCAGCCCACTCCAGTATTCTTGCCTGAGAAATCCCATGGACAGAGGAGCCTGGCAGGCTGGTCCTTGGGGTTGCAAAGTCAGACATGACTGAGTGTGTACACACACACACACACAGTCTGGCAGGCTGGTCCATGGGGTTGCAAAGTCAGACATGACTGAGCATGTACATGCACACGCGCGCGCACACAGAGACACACACACATAGCATGTAGATGGCACCTGAAGAGGTGGATATGAAACGGGATGAGAAACCTACAAGACCAAAAAGGAGCAACTAGAGGTTGAAGAAGAAACAGGAAAATATGCTAGTAAGACTTAAAGAAGTGAATGTTTCAATGAAAGGAGAGTGGTCAGTGGTACTCTAGACTGCTAAGAGGTCAAAGAACTTGAGTGCTAAAGTGTAACCATTGAATTTACAATTAATTATATATTTAATGATCTCTGTGAGAGCTGTTTCAGAGGAAAACAAGTGAAAAAACCAGACTATACTTGGTTCTTTCATTTAAGGAGCTATACTGAACATGTATTGGGTGCTAGAAGTCCAGAATCAGACATAATGTTTGCCCTCAAGGCAGTGGTCTCCTGGGCAGGTTGAATGGGAGGTAGAGAAAGGGAACGTAGACAAGCTCTTTAAGGTTGACTGAGACAGGAAAGCAAGAAAAGCAGTAGTGATGCTGATTCAGGATGGTGGAACTTTTTTTAAGGTGAGGAGAAAATAGATTTTAGGTTTGAGAGTTAAGGACCACCTGTCACTTTCATCCAGGCTTTATGGGTCCCCATTAGACTCAATGCTATTTCTCTATAATTCACACTTGTTCCATTTTTTATATAATTCTTCAAACGGTGCTCTGATAAAGAGAGCACAGCTACTATTTTGTTGGTGGCATCATAAAGGGTAGGTAACTTTTTCCAATGAAGCTGGTATCTAGGAAGACTGCTGCCAAAAGGTGTATTAGTGAAAGTGGTATTATGAGTGGTATTAGTGAAAGTGGTGCAGGTATGAGTGGATAGGCTTCGGGGCCCCAGTTGGCTATATGCTGGATATGAAGTAAGGGTCAATTTCCTGCTGGTCTCTTTGGGATTAAAGTTCAGGCTCTGAGGTGATGGGAGCCTGGCAGTGGACAGAACCCTTGTGCCCATACTTTTGCTCTCAGGCTCTGGCTTTCTCTGGGGCCATAGACTGCCAGAGACTGATAAACTGGGTCACAAATTAAAGAGCTGGGATGCAAAACTGACTGATAAGTAAGGGGTGGTGATTGCTTTAGGAAGAGGGAGGGGACTATCTCCCAGGAAAGCTTTTGGCTATCTTTGTGAACACATGAGGGCAACTGTAGAGGGAAATCAGTAAGTTAAAGGTCACACCCACCACCCACTTTGGCTTTGGGGACATCTGGATGGTCTGGGGTGATCATGCCCCTGATCGGCTTCAGGCCCCGCCTAGAGCCCCCACACGGGAAGTGACCGCAGCACTAAGGCATCCGGAGGCTGACGGCCCAGACCACGGACCGCCCCCTTGCTCCGCCCCTTGGATCTGCGGCCCAGGACTGGAGGGAATTTCCTTTTATGGCCCCGGGCTGTCAGGCAGGCCTAGCTTCCACCCAATTGTGGTTTTTTTGTTGTTGTTTGTACATTTCTTTAACTATAAAATAGAGTTCTTGGGAAAAGAAAAAAGTTAGGTACAGCTTTCTTTCTAATTAAGTCATTATTTTCTTGTTTTCTGTATCTAGGGTTGCTTGAGTAGAAGAATCCTGTCTTATGTGGCAGTATCTGCCTCATGAATGACTTACCCAAAGCATTTCTCCTTTTCATTATAAACCCCTCCAAACCATCATTTTAATTCCATTCCCTTTTTAGATTTTAATTTCAGTATCAGAACCAAAGCCATTCAGTAAGCTTGCTTCCTCTTTCATAAACTGTGGCTTTTCTTCTCAAAGCTTCCCTTCCTTCCTATTAACATGCACTGAACAGCTGCTGTCAATTTTCAAGAAGCTTAGTCTAATAGACAAGACAGCCCATTTAACAGATTTCTACAATCCAGTGTGACAAGTACTGTATGTAGTAAGGCAGTGTACAAGATGTGGTGTAAACAGAAAGAACCAATGGATGTTGCCAAAGGGTGCAGAGACCAGATGAAGAATGTTACCATTTAATGAGATAGAGTGTGCTAGGGAAGAAAGGCTAGAGGGAGATGAAGACAGTGAATCATATGGATTTGTTGGGATTTCAGGTAGTGGTTGGCTGGGTTTGAAACTCAGGGGAAGGTCTGGACTGGACAGCTTTGGGAATTGCTGGCATGAATGAGAATCAAGTTCTAGAGGTAAGGCTTCCCAGGGAGAGTATGCAGAGTGAATATTAAGTTTTTCTGTGCCAAAGCCTTTGCCCACATCCCACTTCCAAATCAATGACCCTTGTGCCTTCCTCAAAGGGACGATCATGGCTTCTCCCCCTTGCACTGGGCCTGCCGAGAAGGCCGATCTGCTGTGGTCGAAATGCTGATCATGCGGGGGGCACGAATCAATGTGATGAACCGTGGGGATGATACCCCTCTGCACCTAGCAGCCAGTCATGGGCACCGTGATATTGTACAGAAGGTATGTATGAACCCCTTGACGCACATGCCTGGAAGTAAGACACAAGCACTATAACATAACGTACAAAGTATGTGTACTCATCTCCCTCCTTGCATGCCTCTCTCATGCACTTCTCTCATTTGGGACTGACTGTACCTTCTACCTCTTTGTTTGGCCATGGGGACCAGCTGCTGCAGTACAAAGCTGACATCAATGCGGTGAATGAGCATGGGAATGTGCCCCTACACTATGCCTGTTTCTGGGGCCAAGATCAGGTGGCAGAGGTGAGTACTCAGGCGAGCTCTGGGATGGGTGGGAAGTCTGAGCTTGAGTGGGAGACTCTGGAACCCTCAACCCATCCTGTGAGTACTGTCCTGGGTACAACATTCACAAGGTTTGTACTGCATCTGCATTCATGGTTAGTTGGGAATGCCCTCATCATAGCCATCTCTTAATTCCAGGACCTTGTGGCGAATGGGGCCCTTGTCAGCATCTGTAACAAGTATGGAGAGATGCCTGTGGACAAAGCCAAGGCACCCCTGAGAGAGCTGCTCCGAGGTCTGTCCCCACCCACCGCTTGTGTAGTCTTGTCCTCGCCTATCTCTTTCCACACAACAGCTGAGGTCAAGACTTTGTCTTTCTTCCCCAGAGCGGGCAGAGAAGATGGGCCAGAATCTGAACCGTATTCCATACAAGGACACATTCTGGAAGGGGACTACCCGCACTCGGCCCCGTGAGTCAGCTGTGAGGGGAGGGGTGGTGAGAGAATAGTCCTGGACTCCTGGGGCTGGGAAAGAGGGAAGCTGGGTACCTGACCTGCCCACACTCTCAGGAAATGGGACTCTGAACAAACACTCCGGCATTGACTTCAAACAGCTCAACTTCCTGGCGAAGCTCAACGAGAATCACTCTGGAGAGGTAACTCCCCACCCCACCCAGCCCCACCATATTACCTGTTGTGCACCTGTTTTAAGTTTCTCCTCCAGTTAGTGGGCAAGAAAACAGTGGCCTTAGTTAAAGCCTTCTAACCCTTATCTGTCCCTCAGCTATGGAAGGGCCGCTGGCAGGGCAATGACATTGTCGTGAAGATGCTGAAGGTTCGAGACTGGAGTACAAGGAAGAGCAGGGACTTCAATGAAGAGTGTCCCCGGCTCAGGTGGGGAAAGGCCTAAACTGGAAGCCTTGATTTCAAGGAACCCTGTCCAGCACCCCGAGGGAGATCTTTTATGCTGGATCTCAGCCAGGGACATTCTCTTCCCTCTTCCAGGATTTTCTCACATCCCAACGTGCTCCCAGTGCTCGGTGCCTGTCAGTCTCCACCTGCTCCTCACCCCACCCTCATCACACACTGGATGCCATACGGATCCCTGTACAACGTGCTACATGAAGGCACCAGTGAGTAGGGGGTGCCAAATCTCACTGTAGCAGGCTGTGGGGAAGGAAAGTCTGTGAGCCTCTGCAAATGATTTAACTTTTGCCTTCTCACTTAAGATTTCGTTGTGGACCAGAGTCAGGCTGTGAAGTTTGCATTGGACATGGCAAGGGGCATGGCCTTCCTACACACACTAGAGCCCCTCATCCCACGACATGCACTCAACAGCCGTAGTGTAATGGTGAGATTACAACTTCACTCTCGGCCCACACCCCAGAGGTCCTTTCCCTAGAATAGGACTTACCTTCTTCCACACAACTATCTTCTCTTCCTCAGATTGATGAGGACATGACTGCTCGAATCAGTATGGCCGACGTCAAGTTCTCCTTCCAGTGCCCCGGGCGCATGTATGCACCTGCCTGGGTGGCTCCTGAAGGTGAGTGATGTCATTATGATGTGAGGCAGAGAAGGGGCAGCTCAGTAGTAATGGAAGGGAACAGAGACAGGACAAGCAGCTGGAACAGATAAGTCCTGTCCATCCAGCTCTGCAAAAGAAGCCTGAAGACACAAACAGACGCTCAGCAGATATGTGGAGTTTTGCAGTGCTTCTGTGGGAACTGGTGACACGTGAGGTACCCTTTGCTGACCTCTCCAACATGGAAATTGGAATGAAGGTGAGAACATAACTGGATATACTTGTGTTGGGGGAATTGTGGTGGTAGTGACAATAATTGTAGTGGGGCTGGACTCCTGCCACATTGATTCAAATATACAGAATCCTGTCCTGAGGGCTAGACGTCTCTCCTCACATGAGACTCAAGTTCTGAGACTCACCTTGTTTTTCCTTGTGTTTGCAGGTGGCATTGGAAGGCCTTCGGCCTACCATCCCACCAGGCATTTCCCCCCACGTATGTAAACTCATGAAGATCTGCATGAATGAAGACCCTGCTAAGCGGCCCAAGTTTGACATGATTGTGCCTATCCTGGAGAAGATGCAGGACAAGTAGAGCTGGAAAGTCCTTGTCTGAACTCCAGAGGTGTCAGGACACGGTTAGGGGAGTGCACCTCCCCAAAGCAGCAGGCCTCTGGTTGCCTCCCCTGCCACTAGTCATGGTACTACCCCAGCCATGGGGCCCATCCCCTGCCCCCATCCCTACCACTGTGGCCCCAAAAGGGAATGGGCTCAAAGCTTTGTCACTTGCCACACGGTGTCTCCCAGCATGGGAGGGATCAGCCCTGCCTGTCACAATAAAGTTTATTATGAAAACAGGCTGGTGTGGGGACAAGAGAACAGACAAGTACATTTAGATTGGGTGGCTCAGGTGAAGTAGTGCGGCTTCTTCACATTGATGCCATACTCGCTGAGGGCAGGGGTCAAGTCCTCCATGGTTAGAGTGTACTTGCGGTCCTGAGGGAAGAGGGAAGAGCACCAGCTGAACACAGGAATTCCAGATTTCAATCCCAGGCGGGTGACCCTGAGTAGGTCTTTCACCTCCCCTAAAGCTTAATTTCCCTCAAAGGGGTTTCAGGATAATTTAAGCCTCTGCTGCTGTAGGAGGTAATTACTGAATCAATGCGCCTCCCCTCACACCTTGCTCTTGCTTCGGGAGCTGCCAGAGGCTGTGCCCTTCATTTTGCAGTGCTGTAGGGCATCGTTGGCAATATCTGAGATGAATTTCTGGGCAGCTAGGGAGATGAGCCGAATTCTAGAGAGAAAAAAAATGGTATGAGAAGGGCACAGACAACAAACTCCACACAAGCACCCAACACTAACCTGCCATGAGTTTACTCACATGCGTGGGTCGGAGGCCTCAAAGCCAGCACGGTTCAGGTAGTAACCAGTCACTGCATCAGGGATCTGAGAAATCAATTAGACGACTAAGCGTTAGCCCTGTGTACTGCGGGGCTGAGAGTGGGGGTAAGGGAAACGGAGAGCGGGCCTGGCTACCAGGAAGCTCCCAGTTTGGGTGGGCAGAAGGGAAAAATCACAAAAGCTAGGAGGGGAAATAAACACAAGAGGACGCTGCAAATCCAGGTGGTGTGGCAGAAGTTGGCATGACAAGCGAGTCAGGAGCCTTGTTCAGGCGGGAAGCCCACCGTAGGCGTGTAATCCTCCAGCTGCATCAGGAAGTCCACTAGAGGCGTGCTGGACACTACCGGCTTCACCTCTCCGTTGGCCGCGCTTGGCAGCACGTAAACCCCGTTAGACATGGCCCCCTCAGGGGGCGCCGCGCCGCCAGTCGTCACCGGAGCTGAAGGAAAACCAGCAAACTGAGACACGGAGGTGGGAGGCTCGAGGGCCCCGCTAGGTCTGCCTTACCCTCTGCCCTCACCCGCCGCTGGGCCCAGCCCAAAGCGCGGCCCTCACCCTCACCCGTCCCGGCCCTCACCCGCCCCGCGCCGCTCGGCAGGCTCCCCGGCCCGCGCCGCCACGGCTCCAGTGCCCCCTGCTGCGGCTCCAGCCCCAGGCCCCCCTGCTGTCCCCGCGGGGCTGGCCTTGTTTTCCGCGGCGGTGCCGGCGGGCAGCGCGGCGGGGGCCGAGACCGCGGGCGCGGGGCCCGGGGCCGAGGCGGCGGAGGCCGGCGCCGCCTCGGGGTCCGCGCCGGAGCCGCTGCAGCTCATCGGGCCGGTGGGAGAGGCGGCGAACAGAGCCGCTTCCGCTTCCGTTCACGTTACGCACACACTAGGGGTGACGTCACGCGCCCCCGACTCGTCCCTCCCACGCCACGTTTGCTCCTCCCTTAGGCCTCCTTCCTTTATTCCCCGCCCATCCAGCGGCTACAGGACAAAGCCCGGAGGGCGGAGACCAAGTGTTGCGGAACTGCGCTAGAGCGGACATTTCGCGTCCGGACCCGCGGTTCTCTAGTGTGCATCCGCTGGGGTGGGAACACATCGATGTCGAGGGTTCAATGTCTGGATTTGGGCCCCTCACCCAGCCTGACGCCGAAAATCCTTGCTTTGAGGCTTATCGCCCCGACACCTCTCGACTGTTGGTCGCCTGCCAGTTTGCATCTTTTCTAGTTCCTTTATCCAGCCTTTTAAGGGTTTGTAGTGGAGTTGGATAGCCTCTTTCCCCGCCAGCTGCCCAAAGTGAAGGTAACCGGACAGCTGACACAGTGCTGCTGCAGATGGGGAAGAGAGGTACAGTCCACCATCCGTATAGGTGTTGAGGTGTTGGTAGGATTGGTTCCAGGACTCCCCCCACTCCCGTCCCCAACCCATGTATGCCAAAATCCGTGGATGCTCAAGTCCGTTATATGAAATGGCATACTATTTGCACTGTATACTCTAAATCATCTCTAGATTAGTTATACTATCCAATGCGATGTAAATAGTTTGCTGGTGCATAGTAAATTCAAGTTTCGTTTTTTATAATTGGAATTTTAAAAAATATATCTTCAGTTCATGGTTGGGTGAATCTGTGGCTGCAGAACCCGAGGATACGAGGAATGGCTGTCTTTCAGTCTTAATAACAACTTACGTAAAATCACAGCTAGTCAAAGAGTAGGGTTTTCAACGCAGCAAAAATTTATTTAATTTTTATTTGTCAGTCAGTCCTGAGCTAGGGTCTGCAAATACAAAGTAGGACAAGGTTCTAGTCCTCCAGGCACCAGTGGTCTTGGAAAGGGAGGCAGTTAAACTGGCCATTTCACCAATATATGGGAGTTAAAATAATGGAGGTAGACACAGGGTGTGCAGTGCAAGGGAGGAAGGGAATTAATAGTTTCTGCCTACATCAGTGTGTTAGGCATTCCATTAATTTTCTTCCACTTAATGATTTCCTAAATATTAGAGGCAGGTATCAATATCCTCACTTAACAGATGAGGAAAAAGTCTCAGAGAGTTGAACTTACTTGCCCCAGGCTCTCAGTCTGTATCAGAACCAAGAATCTAGGATTTTTCTGTCATACCCACATCAACTAGCTTCAGGGAGCCAAAAGATTCACAAGAGGAGGTAAGCTGAGTCTTGAAAGAATTCTGGACCTCAACCAGGCACAAGGAGCCAGGGGTAATGTTAGGGCAAAGAATATCTTGAGCAACAGTGAATGAAAGTCCATGGGGGGGGGGGTGAGGAGACAGGGAAGGATAAACAATTTGTTAATCAGAAACAAAGAGCAAGTAAGGAGACAGGTTTGTAAATCATGATAAAAAGCCTGACCTATATCCAGTAATCTTTGAAGGGTCTTAATCAAGTAGATAACCTCATGAGATTTGCATCTTACTCTGGTAGTTGGTTTGGGGGCTTCCCTTGTGGCTCAGTGGAAAAGAACCCATCTGCCAATGCAAGATACCCATGTTCCATCCCTGGGTCAGGAAGAACCCTGGAGAAGGAAGTGGCAATCCACTCTGTATTCTTGCCTGGGAAGTCCCATGGACAGAGGAGCCTGGTGGGCTATAGTCCATGGGGTCACAAAAGAGTCAGACACAACTTAGCGAATAAACAAGTGGTAGATGGTTTAGGGAAAGGCAGGATATAAGGACACTTCTTGCAAGGGCCTCAATTCAAAGAAGAGGGAATATGGCTCACAGCTAATACGGTAGCAGTGGAGCTGGAGAGAAGTAGATGAATTCAAGATACACTTCGGAAATATAATTGGAAGAACTTTTGGTTTGTTACAGATGTATTTAAGAGATAAGAGTCAATAGGACTTGTTGACAAGGTGATGATGGGAGGAGGTGAAGGAAATGGGAAGCTTAGATGACACTTTAGGCTTCTGGCTAGGTTGGAAGTGTCAAGCATAGTGTCATTTATAAATAAGAAACAAAAAACAGTTTGGGATTGGGAAGAAGGGAGATGAAATATTGAGAATTACACATCTTGCTTTTGAGGTATCAATCACTGTAGGATGGAAAGTCTGATTTAGTGAGATAGTGATGGCTGTGGACGCCAGTTATTGATTTGTTCCAGCGGACAATGAGTCAAGTGAGAAGAGCAAAAAACAAAGGATAGAGCAATGATACTACATGGATTAGGTGTGATTAGCATTTACACAGTTGTACCAGTGCAAATCCTGTATGCAGCTCAAACAAAAATAGAATTGTATTGGAAGGATGAAAGAATGGGTGGTGGGGATTTTGAGTGATTGGGACAACACAGAAGAATTATCATAAGCTAATAGGAAGTCAATAATGGCTAAAACTGGCGGGTGGGAGGGGGGGGATCAATAAACAGCAATATAAGCATGTTATTTAGAGATAAACCAGTAGATACCAAAGAATCAGGGCTTCCTAGGTGGCACTAGTGGTGGAAAACATGCCTGCCAATGCAGATTTAAGAGATGCAGGTTCGATCCCTGGGTCAGGGAGATCCCCTGGAGGAGGGCCTGGCAACCCACTCCAGTATTCTTGCCTGGAGAACTCTAGACAAAGGAGCCTGGCAGGCTACAGTCCATGGGGTCACAAAGAGTTGGACACAACTGAAGTGACTTAGCACGCACCAAAGAATCAACAGAAACAGCTGAAATGATTGCTTCAAGTAGCAGGAAATGGTGGTAGATACACAAGGGGTGATTATTACTATTTTTTTTTTGCAATAAGACTTAAAGAACTATTTGACAATGTGCCCATATACTTTGATAAAATAAAAACCAAGAGTTATAAAATTTTGGTTAAAAACCAAGAGCAACAAAATACAACAACGTTTAATGAGGAAGCAGAGAAGAGAAAGAGGGAAAAGGGAATGAAGGAAGAAGAGGGAGTGGTCAGAGAAGAAGTTAAGCCCTGGAAGCGAAGAAAGAAGAGGCAGTAGGCTTCTATGACTGAGAGCTCACAAAACAAAGGTTGGGAGTATTTCTCAGGGAAGGAAAGAGTGAAACAATAAGAGTAGAGGTCTCAGGACAATGAATTGAGGGGTGAGGATGCAGTGAAATAGTGTACACAGACAGGGTAGAAAACATGTTGGAAAAGCCTGGTTGAAAAGAAAACAAATGGAGCAGGGAGCCCCGGGGGGTGGGGATGGGAGTGGTTGTATGCAGGGGATGCTCCCAAATAGTGCTGGCTGTGGCACCTGTTGAGGAACCTGGGGCAGGGGGACCTGAGTATGATGGAACAGGTAGGGTTGGGAGTCAAGTCAAGCTCACAGCATTTCTGGGTTAGGGAGATAAGCTGTCTGTGGCAGTCAATGGTTGAGGGTTCAGCAGGGCTTCCAACACTGCAGAATAAGGGACCAAGCCACCTGCTGTGAGGCAGAGGACAGGCCCACCCTTCTAGCAGGAGAGGGTCAAGGGTTCATTAGTGTCTTCAGCAAAGCTGGGAAGTTGGGTGTTCCCCAGCCTGTCACAGGATCCCAGCCAGGGCAAGAGCAGAAACCTTGACCCTCCACCTCTTCATCCAGACAGGACTCGTGGCAGCCACGGGTTACCTAGGGAGAGGGTGGGCATCAGATCTGGACCTGCTGATATTAACAGACTATAGCCCCTTACCCTGTATTCACATTCCAGAGGCTATCCCACAGAATTGCCCTCAAGTTCATCTTAGCACTCAACATACTCTTATGAGTATGAATGTTGTTATTTCATATGAAAATGGCCACAACCCCCCCTTCCAGACTCACATCAAAGAGTCCTTCCCCACGCTGCTGGTAGAGCCTTGGGTTGAGAAAACCGAGAGGGGGTAGGCCTCTGAGGATTCTGTGTTCATTTATCAGGGATAGGAGTCCCCCAAACACTGGCGTAGAGGCCTGAAAGGGTAAGGGTGCAAGTAGAGGTTAGGGATTCAGAGTGCTTGGACTTTTTGGGAGGGATGGGTAGGAGGTCTCTGAGGAGTCGGGGGTTCTGGGTGCAAGGGTTCTGGGTTCTTGGGGTTGGAAGGTAGGGGTATTCCCTGGGTAGAGGTTTGGAGCCAGACTGATTCTCACCGAAGTACCAGACACCCATGGAATGGGCACGTGGTTGCTGACCACCCAGTAGCCATCAGAGAGTGCAGCTACGTCTGGGTAGGCGCGGCCACTGGCATTGAAGTAACTGGATGGTGGCAAGTGGGGACTGGAGCTCAGGTACCGGGTTACAGCTTCCTCCTGAAAGACACTGTTGAGTAAGTACCATCTGCTGAACTGGGGATTCCACCCATCTCTCCTCCACCAACACAAACACACAGGTACCTGGTACGAAGGCCGTGGGAACACGTTGCTGAAGCCGCCACCACTGATGTAGTCAACGACCTCATTTGTGACTCGGAAAGGGTTCTCGAAGGATGTGCCTCCCACCGTGGTGACATAGGGACTGAGGGCAGAAGACAGCACTCAGAATGTAGCAGTCCTAAGAAACCTCCAAAATGCATAGGGCTGGGTGAGTGTGGCCTGGGTCTTGCTGGAGGGACTGGGAAAGCACTCTGGTGAAGTATGTACATGGGGAAGACTGAGAGGTTTGTGGCCCTCAAGGCATGGTCTGAGGTGACTGTGCACACTTCTCCCTACAAAACACATCCACCAAATCTCCCACTAAAATGCCTGGGGACCGAGGAAGCAGAACACTGGGAGCTGTGTCCTACTTAGGAGATTTAGGGCCTGGCACCTTCGGGAAGAAGAGGGGGTGGAGGAACAAGAGCAGAGACTGAAAATACTGCATGATCAAGATCAGAGCAGGTACAACTGAGTGCTGACCCACAAGAGCACCTGGTGGGGTTAAGGCAAAGGTTCTAGACCATGAGGTCACAAGTAAGTGGTGGGCTTGGGTGCTTACCTGGAGGCAGGGAAGCTGGGACGGAACTGGTGTCTGCCAGAGACAGACCAACACCCGGCCCCACTGTCACCTGGGAGAGAGACCAGGTTTAGCATTCAGTTTCATTGGTCAGAGCTTGGAATGTGGGTTCAAATGTCAGAGAGGAAATTCAAGTGTTAGTTATTACTGCAAGAGGTCAGAGTTGAGGTCAGGTCAGTGGTCCATGTTCAGTTCAGATTACGAGTTAGAGATCAGGTCCAGGAGTTACTGTGGGGTCAAAGTTCTCATCTTGAGTGGGCGTGGGTGGTGGTGGGGTCTAAGTTTAGAGTAGGAGGTCACCTGAGGCAAAAAGCAGGGTCAGACCCCGAGCAGCCGCCTTCATGAGCTCAGTGTTCACCCGCTGGACATAGGTGCTGCTGAGGGAGTCCTCGTCATCCCCGTAGCTCACGGTGTGCACATATGGCAGAGCTGACTCATTACTGAGCAGCAGAAGCCACTGCAGGAAAGGCTCCTGTGACTCATGCCGGCCTGGATGTTTTTTGGAAAAGGGGGCACAAGGGCAATCATTTGGGAAGTTGTCAGGATCTCCCCCTAGCTCATGGAATTCCCTTGAGGGAGGAAAGATCACTACTCCCCCCAGTTCTGTCCCCACCAGTCAGTCCCCTAGGCAGTACCAGGGCTACTGTAGACCCAGGTAGAGATGTTGGCGCCAGCACTCATGAGGTACTCCACATCTAGGCTGGCCTCAATCCCGGCCCGGCCCCGGCCCTGTTGTCCAACCACACGGGCTACCGATGCCTGGTGTGCAAAGTCCCCACCGAAGAGGCGCATGAACTCAGCAAGGTCTGAATCATGGAAATACTGCTCCAGGAACTACAGAGGGAGTCAGAGGAGATTCATGGGTCAGAAGACATAGACCCAAGGGTCAGGTCAGGGGATGCTGTCCCAGATCATAGGATGAGAGCCCAGCAGAGTCAGCCCCAGGCTGTTCAGGCACCTTGAGGAGGCTGTGAGGATGCTGAGGCTCCTTGCATGGCTCACCTGAGCGCAGGCTTGACTGTTGTTGGTTGTGCCAGAGCCCACATCTTGTGCCGTCAAGTTGTAACGCTTACGGATCACTGATGGGGTCACTCCCAGATGCAGGCCAACAGTCCCCGGCACCTGTGGCTCAGGGCGTTGCCTCAGGGTTGATGTAGGGGGAAACCGATGCAGCCCCCCCACTGTGGGGAGGAGTCAGGCTTGAGGAAGAGACCTTTTGGACTCCAACCCTCGTTTTACCACTGTGATCCCACCCCCGCTCGCACCCCCTGTGGCACCTAAACTTCTCCCATCCCTGGCTCTGCCCCTCCAACCTCCACCAGCCCCACTGGATGTTACCAAAGTCCACATGCGGGGCCAAGGCCTTTGGGAGCCGGTAGGGATGTGGGGACCTCACAGCATGGGTCTCTGCAGGTCCTCCCATATAGTGATAAAACTCAGCCCCAGAGAGCAGCAGCTCTGCCTGTCTGGAGGTCAGTTCAGAAAAACACAGGTCAGAAAGCATGGAGCAGAGCAGAAGAGGCTGCCTAAGCATCACCGGGTAGTTAGTTGTTATCTCCCCATGCATTTTCACCCACAGCACCTGCAAACTCTTGGTTCCCTCCCCCGATAGGGAGACAAATCTCCCTTATGGGGTGATCAATACCCTCTATGAGGCAATTATCCCCTCTCACCGGACACTCAGCCAGCAAGTCAGAAAGTCCTGTGTAGTCACTGAGTGGCAGTTCCGGGCTCCAGCCGCCAAAAGCCATTTCTGGACCGTGTGGAGAGTCAATGGTGATGGCCGGACCAGTTCAGCCACATCCTCTAGGGTCAGGTACTTGCCTGCAGGGGTTCAGTAGAATTGCCTTTGTTCATTGCTTTTCCAAATTGCTCTTTTTGGACTTCAACCAGGAGACACTGGGACTTCCTAGGGAAATTGGAGCAGGGGCTTGAGGGATGCGTGGGAAGCTTCTAGTAAAAAGGCAGGCCATACAGGTGTAGGCTCAAATTGGGGGAATATGGATTTATCCTAAAGGAGAGTAGGTTGCAAATACTGCATGATCATGAAAAACAAATGAGATTAATAGATTAAAAATGTTCTTTTGGGGGTCGGGGGGTGTGCCACACCACTTGTGGAATCTTAGTTACCCAACCAGTGATAGAATCCAGGCCACAGCAGTAAGAGCACTGAGTCCTAACCACTGGACTGCCAGTGGAATTTAAAAAAAAAATGTTCATTTTAAGTTTATTTTCAATAAAAGTTTTCAAAACTTTCAGGACCAGTTATAAGATGATATCTAATTTAGCTTACATCTTCATACTTACTGATTTTAAGCTAAACATGATGGTGAGTCATTGTTCTGCATGGATCATGCACACACCTCCTGGGTGAACCTTAGATTGCCCCCTCACACGCTCACCACTCCCACTCCTTCCCCACCCCAAAGGGCTTCCTTGGAGAAAGCACACAGTCCAGCTTGACCATTGGAGCAAAACACCGACTCTTGGAATGGATTGGAGGGGAAGAGACGGCAGTCCAGTGAGGGGGATGGGCAGCAGTCCAGGTGAGAGAGTACAGTCAACTGAGTTGGTGGCAACAAGGAACAATGAGACAGTGGACTGTTTCAGAGCTGGAACTGACAGCTTTAGTGTTTGAGTGGAGGAGTAAATGAGAGTGAATTTAGCAGGGGTTGGAGGTGAAATCTAAGGTAGTGAGCTAAACTTACATGTACTGGATGCTACGTCACCATTTGTCTGGCAACGGGTAAGCAGTAGAGTCATAATTTAAATTCTGGTTTGATCACCAAGCCTGTGCTCTTAACCATACCCACTTTCAGTTTTTTAGCCTAATGAACACAGGTGGAAAGTTTTGGAGGGAAGAATGTGAGTTAGTTTTGGACAGTCTACTTCCCATTCACTTTTCTATTCAGAAACTCTTCAGTGAGGGCCATTGCCATTCATCTGTCCTATACCACCCCCTCCGCAGGCCCCAAGAGCATGCCCTTGACATGACCTGCACCTTCCCATGCTCAGCCCAACCCCGTGTCCCTCCACCACATCCCACATCCTGCCCCGCGGTCCCGTCAGGCACCGTAGCGAGGAGAGCCAGGATCCGACACAGCCTGCACCAGCTCGGACAGTCTCTTCAGGTTCTGCTGTCTCAGGGCAAACGTAAGACTCAGCTCTTCCTCAGGGTCCGCACGGCCCAGGGACACCCAGCCAGGGGGCAGCCTGCAGGGTCATGGGTCACACAGCCTTCATTATTATTATTATTGTTATTTTAGCCTTCATTATTAAAGTGGGGACGGGAAGGTTCAGCATTAGACCTAGATTTGGGGGAAGATTCCGGAAGCAGATTTGAATCACAGGAGGTGGATGATCAGACTGCACCTGGGACTACGGAGAGGGGTATCAGGAGCTGGTAAGCCGGTAAGGGGGGCTGGAACCAGGATAACAGGTGCAGGACAAGCCATGGGGAAGGGGCGGTCAGCGCTAAGTCAGCTCACCTCCTCTGCTGGTCAGGCTCCGGGCTGTAACTGCATTTGCCAGCGACGAAGAGGGCAAAGAGCCCTAGGAGGCTGCAGGGACAGCACATGGGTTTCAGCAGGAGCTGGACTGTTGCTCCACCCTCCAACATAAACTCCCCCCAACGTGATTCCCTTCTCCCGGAGCCCCCCAGTTTCTCACCAGGATCGGGGTCCCATTCTGCCTTTCGGCTCGCCCACTGTCATGTGACAGATCACATGAACCCTGTAGTCCTCCTCTGCCTAGGAACTAGTGACGTCATGGCTCCGCCCTCCAATGGGTGGTCCTGAATGCGGGAGAAGGGGTGGGGCGGCCACTCAGACGCTCCCTCTGTGGACTGTCAAACACTGGGTGAGCCCAGGACTCACCACAGTGTAGGCGGCGCTTAAGAAAGGGGCTCTGGAGGCCCATAGGCCCAGAGATCCAGGTCCTTACAAGACGTATGATATTAGGAAAGTCACAGCTTTTTGGAGCCTTGTTTTCTTCATGTAGAATATGGAGACTGTTAGGTTAAAAGTGCTCTGCCTCAGCGGATTGCACTGAAAATTTACAGAGATAAAGCAAGCAAACCCCTCAGAGAGCCTCACGTGGCAGAAGCTCAACAAATGTGAGCTGTTATTACATATGAATATATTATAGTCTATATAATGACCCCACGAAAAACAAATAAACCACTTGGCTGCTCTTGTATCCACCCCCACCTCTTTGAAGACCCTCAAGCCTAGAGCTGGTCATCTCCAAGGTCTCCCCAGCCAGCCAATTCCTCTCTGGATTGCTGCCACAAGCAAGCTCCTGCTGTCTGCCTTCGTCTGGCCTCCTGCCCCTGTTAGAGGGAAAGGTCGACTGCAGAGGGATGTGACAGCCTCAGGCTAGGCTTGGGTTCCCAGTGCCTTCCTCACTCACCCCACCCTAGACACCCCTCTGTCCATCCCACTCTGTGCCTCCTGAGGTGTCTACAAGGTGTCAGGAGCCTTTCCATCACTGCCCCGTCCCTAAGGGCCCAGAGAACAGATCCGGACACTGGATACAAACTGCAGTTTATTAAGGCTCCAGAGTGAGAATTGGCACTTGATTCTGGGCAGGGGCAGGGGTGTCAGTGGAACCCAAAGGAGCTGGGCCCGAACAAAGTTGCAGGGGCTGCCCCCACTCCCCTACCCCCCAATAAATAAAGTCTCAGCTCCATCTCAGGGTGCTGGCACAGGGCAAGAAGCCCTCACTGAGGGGAACCCCGGGGCTGCTGCCTCCTTCCTCATCTCTCTCCCTGCGTCGGACCTGGCCACAGGTCAGTGCCCAACCGGGCCTCACGGTACTGGGGCTCTGCCAGGGCCGGGGCAAGACGTGAGACCTGCCCCTGCTGGAGGACTCTGGGGTGGGGAGCTGGCCTCCCCAATGGCCAATCATGGTCCGAGGCTGCCCGGGCAGGCTCAGATGGGGCCTGCATTGGGGACACTGTGCGCATCCCAGGTCGGGGCCCGGTCCGGGCCACACCTAGATATGGAGCTCGGTGTCGTCTGGTGGCTCCAGGCCAGACTCTGCGCTCAGAGCTGAGGCTGAGGGGCCCTGGGCCACCCCGAACGGCGAGACGACGGGTGAGCGAGCGGCCAGAGGAGACAGTGAAGGTGAGAAGCTGGGGGACATGGCCGCCGAGGACAGGGAACCTTCATGGCTGATGGGGGAGCGGTGAGAGGCTGGTGGGAAGACGGCCCGGGTTGCGGCCGTGCTGGCTGGCTTGGGGGGCACAGACTTGGCTCCCGGGTGAGCCACGGCAGTGATGAGGGGCGGTGGGTCAATACGGGGCGCCGGGGGACACGGCCGAGCTTCATCCTTGAGCCGGGCGATCTCTGTGAAGACACTGGCCAGCGGCTGGAACTGAGGGCACCAGCTCAGCAGGTAGTCCCAGTTGTAGCTGCCACGGAGCTCTTCCTCACCGGCCACAATGGCCGTCAGCGCTCCCGCCACACAGGGCTTGCCATCTGCTGGAAAGCCATAGTCCCCGGTAGGGGCGGGGCTTAGACCACAGCCCCCCAGGAAGGTGGTGGCAGCGGCTGGGGGGCCGTCTTCCCGGTACAGAGTGGATCCTGCACCCGGCAGCAGCAGCCCTGCCTTACGGCCCTTATACCAGGTGTCGGGGGCAGGTGGCTCGCAGGAGGTGTCACTCAGTCCGTCTGCATCCTGCTGGATGCCGGAGTCAGGGCCACGGGCAGCCAGGGAGGAGGCCACACTGGCCACGCGGGGGAACTCGTTGATCATGCGGATCTCGTCATCTTCCGCAGCCTCCGCTGAGCCTCGGCCGCTTGAGTGTGAAGGGTCCAGGGAGCCACCGCGGGGGTAGGGTCCTCCAGCTCCTGGCCCACCATAGCTGGGGAGAGTCTGGTGATACAGGTGCTCTGAGGGCGGCGGGCTGGGTGGCTCTCGGCCCAGCTTCTGCAGCGAGCCGCTGGCCAGGGGTGCCGCCTGGGACATCGGGCCAGGCGCCGCCTCAGCTTTGCGGCTCCGGGCCCGCACCAGTCCCAGGACAAGGGCTGCCAGGGCAAGCACCACCACGACTCCCAGAGAGGCCGCTACAGCCCCCACCAAGAGCAGGTTGAGGTCAGGGGCCAGGCCCAGCGCGGTGTGGGTGATGTCCACAGTCACGGGCACCGTGGCGCTCCGAGAACCAGGCAGAGGCCCCCGTGCCACCACCTCCAGCCTCAGCTCTCGCGGCGCCTCACGTCGGGTCCGGCCCCCACCCCCGGAGGTGCCTGTTCCGCTGCCTGGTGCCCGGCTGTCCACCCGCAGGTACAGGGCACCTGTAGTCTGGTTGATACCAAAATAGGGGGACGAGGCGGCCAGCGAGTACAGCACTAGGCCGTCAGCACCTCCATCCTCGTCTGTGGCCTGCACGTGACCCAGGCTGTGGCCACGCCGCGCACCTTCTGGCACCTGGAAGTGGAAAGCTGGAGCCAGGAACACTGGGTCATACTCATCCTCACCAGTCACCAGCACCGACACGGTGACTGAGGCGGACAGGTTCCCAGCATCCGTAGCGCCCACCAGCAGCTGGAAGCTGCCAGTGTGCTCGTAGTCAAAGGCCACTCGTGCCCGCAACTCCCCAGTTGAGCTGTTCAGCGCAAACGCCTCGCGGCCCTCAGGCCCCGGCCCAGCCTCCAGCAGGCTGTAGTGGAGCTTTCCGAAAGCCCCGGCATCCCCATCGATTGCATGCAGGGTGGTCACGAGAGTGCCTGGAGGCTGGTTCTCAGCTAGGCTGGTGCTGAGCAAGCTCAGAGGGAAGGCGGGGCCGTGGTCATTCACGTCCTGGACCTCGATGGTCACTGGTGCTAGAGCAAAGTGTGCCCCGGCAGGGTCGGCAGCCTGCACGACAAGCTGATGTCGAGCCTGGGTCTCACAGTCCAAAGGGCGGGCCAGTCGCAAGTCCCCGGAGCTCTCATCCAGCTCAAAGAGCCCCAGAGGGTCGCCTGAGCTGAGGGTGAAGCGCACAAGGCCATGGGGGCCTGGATCAGCGTCGGAGGCCTCCACGTGCAGCAGCTCGGCTCCCACAGGCGTGTCCTCAGGCACCGCCACACGGTAGGCCGCGCGGGTGAAGACAGGTGGGTTGTCGTTGACGTCCAGCACGGTGACGGTGACTGGCACAGCCGAACTTCGAGGTGGCTGCCCCCGGTCAGTTGCCGCCACAGTTAGGTTGTACTGGGTGAGGCTTTCAAAGTCTAGAGGCTCAAGTAACACCAGGCAGCCCAGGGCCCGGGGGCCTAGTCCGTCACCCTCCCCAGCCTCTGCCAGCCGGGGTTCCAGCTGGAAGACTCGGCCCCGGTTGCCACTGACAATGCTGTAGTCCACCGCGGCGTGGCTGCGGCTCCCGTCGGCGTCTGTGGCCTCCAGGGTGAGCAAGGTGGAGCCGGGTGGCAGATCCTCAGTCACAGCCACACGGTAGTGTGGCAGTGTGAAGCTCGGGGCGTGGTCGTTCTGATCCTGCAGCTGCACGTGCACTGTGGCGCGGGCGGCCCGACCCGGCACTCCATGGTCTCGGGCTTCCAGCACCACATCCACCATGCCTGGCCCTTCATGGCCCAAGGCCACTGTCCCCACTGTTGTGAACAGGGTCCCTGAGATGAAAAGGGAATGAAGAGAAATATGCCATCAGCAGAGACCGTGGGTGAGCAGAATGACCCTCTAGGGACGGGGAAAAGGCCTTGGAAGTCAGACTCCAGGGAGTGGCCTGTGTGCTGGGAGATTATGGAATGGGCTCCAGGATTCAGGAAATGGCTTCTAGACATGCAGTCAGGACAGTGCTTAAAACAGAGACAATGGGGGACTTCCCTGGTGGCCCAGTGGGTAAGAATCCGCCTGCCAATGCAGGGGACACGGATGGGTTCGATCCCTGGTCTGAGAAGATCCCACAGGCAACCAAAGCCTGTGTGCCACAGCTACTGAGCCTGGATGATGCAACTACTGAAGCCTGTGTGCCTGGAGCCCATGCTCCGCAATGAAGGAAGCCACTACAATGAGAAGCCCATGCACTGCAATGAAAAGTAGCCCCTGCCCAGTGCCACTACACAAAAGCCTGCAAGCAACAATGAAGATCCAGCACGGCCAAAAATAAATAAATTAATTAATGTAAAAAAAAGATACAAAGGGGGGAAAATGTCCTCCCTAGGTCAGAGATCCAGGAGTTAGGAGTTCAGGCAAGAAATTCTAGGGATGAGGTCAAAATATGGCCCAGGACAGTCAAGGAAAAGGGGTAGACACCAAGAAGGACACACCGTTGTTGGGGTCAATGCTGAAGCCCTCAGCAGGGGAAGCCAGGTAGTAGGAGACATGACCGTTGGCACCCGAGTCCCGGTCAGTGGCCGAGACAGAGAGAATGGCACTGCCCGGCGGTGTGTGCTCAAGCAGCATCACCTGAGGTATAAGATAAGGGTTTATGGCTGAGCTTCTCAGCTGGCTTGCTGCTCACTCAGCCTCTGTTCTGCAGCTTGGTCCCATGAGCTCTGCGTGGCACCCGTTCCAGCTTGGAGCCCTTATACCCCTAATCGAATTGCCCTCCTTCCCCCATTTCTGGGCCCTGAATGCAGATCCTGGACACAGTTCTGAGGACTTAGAAGGCTGGTTTGAGATGGGACCTTTATATCCCCCAAGCTCTGTCCCCAAGTCAGTTCCAACATACAGCCCACCCCAGCTCCTTCTAGCTTTGTCACTTCCCTCCATCATG